TACCTTCATCTCTTTGCTTTGCAATATTCGAGGGCGAAAGCAAATGTACTGTCGGGAGCGCAAATCTACTTTTAAATCCCCAATATGGCTGCAAGGACGTATGTTCATCGGTTGTTTCAAAACAACATRATATAYTTACTCAAGCTATTYCAAAATAGCAMTGAATCACGGTGCAAGACGTAGAGRAGACTATAAGAGATAAATATCTATTTTTCTACTGATTGCCATTTGTCAGCCTGTATTTTCATCACCTGTTCGTCTAGGTATATAAGCAGGCTATTTCGTTTTGTGCGACTGATGTTCTTTATGATATTATAGCTGATAATAAAGATTGGAAGGTTAGAGACACTTAAAGGGGGAATAGCACGTAAATCGTCCGAATTTTAATTCAGTTAAAACTTTACTGGAATAACCCTTAAAAGTCTAATAATCACTGGTTAAAGTTTTTTCCTGACATTCGGATGGGAAATATTATATTTTTGCGAATTTTCATAGGAGTATGTGACGTCATACACTCAACACTAAACATTGCTCCATACATTTCTTTGTATTTTGTAATCAAAATATCCGCTAGTTTTATACTCAGTATTGAAGAAAAGATACCATAAATGGACTCTAGCCACAAGTTACGAACGTTAAGTCCCTCAGCGGACCTTTAGGCTTAATAGAAATAAAGTAAAACAAGAGAGAGAGTGCCTGTAAAAAGGATTTGTACACTTTTAGTATGAAAGGGTACACTGACAGGAAAAATCATTTCGGTATCAAATAACATACTCTAGGCGTATTCTGATTTTGAAAACCTGGCCGGTTTACTTTACCTTTCTCTCAGTCASCTTCAAGGCATTTTCATTTGATGCATATTATGAGTTTGCATTCCTGAAATTTTTCGAAAGAGTTTTTAACGTATTGAAATGAAGAGACAATAGTTTTTAGTGTACTGAAATGAAGAGAAAATGCTTTTATAATGCTYCAACTCCTTCAGAACGCCTTTTTTCAGCTTCCTAATTGGCAGATAATCGATTTCGTGCAATTTTGAAAAAAATAAAAAGATGTTGAGCTTTTGAATGGCATATTACTGTACATGTTTTGCAATCGTTTCCCTGARAATCAAATAACAAAAGACACGGCGGTTATCTTATAAGCCAATGGCAAATCTTTTCTTAAATTCATTCAACATGGCGGCTATGAAAACCAACAATTTTGAAAATAATAATGATAAAAAGGTAAATTATACACCGTGAAAAGATGAAAA